ACTGGCTACAAAGACCAGGGTGATTGGGAACTCATAAAGATCCAACTGTCTCTGCCTCTGTTGTGCTGGAGTTAAAGGCATGCAGCACTGTGCTCAGCTTGCTAGGTGTTGTATCATGAGATTAACATGCATCCATCACCTAGCTGGCTGTATTTGTATCTTGAGCCATGTTTTTCTCCTTGTGACTTTGGCCCATTCTGCACTCTGTTGATAAGGAAACTGCCAGCCCCCACCCCAAAAGCTATGGAGTAACAAGGGAGGAGAGGTCACTCACCTGTTATGTCCACCTGGATGGTGTCACTCCTCTTGGAACTGACTTGATTGGATACTTCACACTGATAGTCCCCGGAATGCGAACTCCGGGCAGAGACTATTTCGAGGGTGCTGTTGTTCGGGGACAGCCTCATCTCATTCGTGATCCTCAGACTCTGTCCTTTGAAGAGCCAATGAATTGAGATCCCAGTGTCGTTTGACAAGCACTTCAGGATCACAGAGGTCAGGTCTTTGACTGTGGTGTTGGTGAATTGGATGGAGGGTTTAATCACTGGTTCTGTGAATAAACAGTGGAGGGGACCAGCTGTGAGTCCTTCACCCTCAGAGATCTCAGCCAGCTCCCAGAGCACATACAATGAATGGGCCCTCTGCAAGATCACATGTTCAAGATATAGTCTGTAAAGAAAGAGCTGAATCTTACTCCTACCAAGACCGCCCACAGTGACCCTGACTCAGGGTATTTTTGTAGATTCCACACTGGGAGCCTCTTCAGCCCACATGTACAGAAATCTCATGGTTGGGAGAAATGTATTTCCCAATAATATTTGTGGGAATTCTTGCTCATATTTTCTGTGAGTGTGAACAGTCAGATCCTGCCTTTATGAAATAGCCTTTATTTAAAATATTAGCCATAGGGTTAAGATGGCCTAGCTAAACTTAAAGGTGTTAAAGGCTAGACCTCAGGACTGGGAGAAATCCTTAACTGAAGAAATTCTGTTTGTAGAAAAATTGTAATTCTTGCCGCATGGATATGGATTAAATACTACAGAGAAGAAGTGATTAATCACAGTGCTGACCACAGCTTACCACTCTAATGCTGAGTACTGATATTTTTGAGACAGGCTCTCACTGTACAGTCCTAGCTCATGTGGAACTTACTATGTAGACCAGGCTGGTCTCAAACTCACACTATCTACCTGTCTCTCCCTACTCAGTACTGGCATCAAAGGTGTGTGCCACCACACTCAGCTGACATATGTTTTTGGAAACTTGAAAAGAGCAAGCAAAAGGGCATCATCAACTATCAGTGACATGGTTCACCCTGACTCAGAACAGGGCTCCCAGGCACCTTCTCCACCCACTCTTTCCATCCCATGGAGTCAGAGCTGAGCCAGCCCCCTCACCCATGAGACAAGAGCAGACCTGGGAGCAGAGGTCTAGTCCCTATCTATGGAGAATATTCAACTATGGGAGTTACTCTAAACCTCATAGAAGAGAAAGTAGGAAGTAAAAGAAGAGAAAGGCTTGAATACATTGGCATCAGAGATCACTTCCTAAATATAACAGCAGTAACAGAGACACTAAGAGCAACAATTAATAAATGGGGCCTCTTGAAACTGAGAAGCAGTTGTAGGACAAAGAAAATGGTCAATAAGACAAAATGACAGCCTACAGAATGGGAAAAGTTCTTCACCAACCCCACATCTGACAGAGGGCTGATATCCAGAATATTTAAGAATTCAAGAAATTAGACATCAAAATACTCAACAGTTCAATTAAAAATGGGCTATAGAACTAAACAGAGAATTCTCAACAGAATAATCTCAAATGGCTGAAAGACATTTAAGGAAATGCTCAACATCCTTAGTCATCAGAGAAATGCAAATCAAAATGACTCTGAGATACCATTTTACACCTGTCAGAAGGGCTAAGGTGAAAAACACTGAAGACAGCTTATGCTGGAGAGGATGTGGAGCAAGGGGAACACTCCTCCACTGTTGGTGAGAGTGCAAATTTGTACAGTAACTTTGGAAATCAGTATGGCGATTTCTCAGATAATTGGGAATTGATCTCCCTTAAGACCCAGCTATACCACTCTTGAGAATATACCCAAGGAATACTAAATCATACCACAAGGACACATGCTCAGCTATGCTCATAGCAGCATTATTTGGAATAGCCAGAACCTATAAACAACCTAGATGCCCCTCAACTGAAGAATGGATAAATAAAATGTGGTACATATACACAATAGAGTACTACTCAGCAGAGAAAAACAATGACAGCATGAAATTTGCAGGCAAATGGATGGAACTAGAAAAAAATCATCCTGAGTGAGGAACCCTGACTCAGAAAGACAAACATGGTAGGTACTCACTCATAAGTGGATACTAGATGAAAAGCAAAGGATAAGCAGACTGCACCTCACAGCTCCAGGGAGGCTACCTAATAAAGAAGACCCTATGAAAGACACAGGATTGCCCAGCAATGGAGAAATAGATGAGATCTACATGATCATGCTGGGGTTGAGAGGGGGTGATGGAGGGCAAGAGTCGGGGCAAAGAGAGCTTAGGGGAGCAGGAGGTCCTAGCTAGATCAGGAACAGAGTGGGAGAACAAGGAAAGAGATACCATGATAAATGAAGCCACCATGGGAATAGGAAGATGCAGAGTGCTAGAGAGGTCCCCAGAAACCCACATAGATGACTCCACTATAGATTACTGGCAATGGTTGAGAGAGAGCCTGAGCAGACCTATACTGGTGATGGGATGGTCGAACACCCTAACTGTCATGATAGAACCCTCATCCAGGGACAATGGAGTAAGATGCAGAGATCCACAGCTAAGCCCCAGGTGGAGCTCTGAGAGTCCAATCAATGAGAGAGATGAGGGATCATATGAGCAAGAGATATTGAGACCATGATTGGAAAAAGTACAGAGACAACTAGTCAGACTAGAAGAAACACATGAACTGTGTCCAATAGCTGAGGAGCCACCAAGGAACTGGATTAGACCCTCTGGATAAGTGAGACAGTTGTTTAGCTTGAACTGTTTAGGAGGATCCCAGGCAGTGTAACTGGGACCTGTCCTTAGTGCTTGAGCTGGCTTTTTGGAACCTAGTGCCTATGCTGAGACACTTAGCTCAGCCATGGTACAGGGAGGAGGGGATTGGATCTGCCCCAAATGTAGGCACCAGGCTCTGTTTACTCCCCAAAGAAGACCTTTCCTAGGAGGAGGTGGAAATGAGGGGTGGGTTGTGAGTGGGAAGACTGGGAGGTAGGATGAGGGAGGAGTGGGAAATCTGTGGTTGATATGTAAACGAATAGAACATATCTTAATAAAAAAGAAAAGAAAAGAAATATAAAAAATTCATTTCTGCTGGCTCTTTTGTATTTATTGGTGTGAACCAGAGTTGTCCTATTGAGTTACAGAACTTGGAAGGCATTCTTGCTGTCCATCTGACCCTCTGTGACCAGATGTGTTTTGATCAGGCTGCTAAGATTGTTCAATGATGAATGAATAATCAGTTAAACAAGGGATGTCGGGGAAAATGGGATATCCAGGTAAAAGAATGAAGTTAAGCCTTCACTAACAACATATGCAAATCAGCTCTACATGGATCAAAGATCAGAGCTGAAAGTTATCAGACTTTTAAGAGACAGGATGAAAGCATCTTGAAACTGGATTTCAAATGGTATTTTTGTTATGATGCCAGATGCATCATATGGGCCTTTTGGCTGCTTATATGTCTCTACAGAAGATGCATGTTTGGTACCTGAGGAGGACAGAAGAGAGTGTTGAATTCCTTGGAACATCAATTATAGATAGTAATAAGTTTCCATGTAGGTGCTGAGAATTGAAACCCTTTTCTTTATAAGAGCTGCCAGGGCTCTTAACTATTGAGCTATCTCTCCAGTCCCATAAACCATATATATACACACACATACTACTAAACACCAAAAAAACCCAGTTATTAGAAAAAAGCATTTTGTGCAGGGATGTCATGCTTCAAATGTCAGCATGATGATAAACTCAGAATACGGGCCACCAAGATGGATCAGTTGGGAAGAGTGTCTGCCGTACTCCCACACAGTACCCACCCCTGATTGCCACACAGAAATAAATGAACAAACAAATGTGGGCCAGTGAAATTGCCTAGCAGATAAAGGGCTAGTTCACGCACCTGAGTTCAATCCCATGTCCTTGGAGAACTGGCTACCACAAATTGTCCCCTGACCTCCACTCATGGGTGTGGGACATGCACACAAAATGAATAGATATGCAAATGTAGTAAGAAACTCATTACAGGTCCTTTCTATCTATGCATTTTATATTTATGGAATGAATCCTTGGAAACAAACTACTTGAAATAGTATCTCTGCAGTGAAAAATGTATTGTTTCCTCCTATCTTTGTACTGTACTCAACACAGTAAGACCAGTGTCTATGCAGTATTCATATTAGGCATTGGAAATAATCTAAAGAAGATCGGAATGTGGTGAAAGAAGTGTAGAGTAACATGAATATTTTACTAGATTCTGAGGGTTGATTGTGTGACTGATTCAGACCCTAAACTCTTAATCACTTTGCATTTCCATTTGCTATATTGACATCTATTGCTGTTAATATTGACTGGTCTCACAATGTAGTCAGAGCTCAGCCTTGTAATTCTATGCCTCCTGCTTCATGCTATCTCTCTTTTGAGATGGGGTCTCACTATGTAGCTCTGGCTAACCTGAAACTGGCTACAAAGACCAGGGTGGTTGGGAACTCATAGAGATGCAACTGTCTCTGCCCTGGTGTGCTGGGGTCAAGTGCATGCAGCACTGTGCTCAGCTTGCTTGGTGTTGTATCATGAGACAAACATGCATCTACCACCAAGCCTGTTGTATTTGTTTCCTGAACAATGTTTTTCTCCTTGTGACTTTGACCCATTCTGCACTCTTTTGATAAAGAAACTGCCCCCATACCCACCTTATGAAGTAAGGAGGGAGCAGAGGTCACTCACGTAAAATGTCCAGCTGGATGGGGTCGCTCCTCTTGGAACTGACTTGATTGGATACTTCACACTGATAATCCCCGGAATCCTCAATCCTCACAGAGTCTATTTGGAGGGTGCTGTTGTTCTGAGACAGCTTCATCCTCTCTGTGAGCACCACACTCTGGCCTTTGAAGAGCCAATGGATTGAGATCCCAGTGTCATTTGACAAGCACTTCAGGAACACAGAGGTCAGGACTTTCACTGTGTTTTTGGTGACTTGGATGGAGGGTGTAGTCACTAGATCTGTGGATAAATAGTGGAGGGGACTAGCTGAGAGTCCTTCACCCTCAGAGAAATCAACCAGTTCACAGGGCCATAGAATGAAGGGGTCTTCTGTAAGATTGCGTGTTTGGGTTCAAGATAAGGTCTGTAGGGAGAGAGCTAAAATTTACTCTTATCAAGATCACTCAGAGTGACCCTGACCAGGGTATTTGTGTAGATTCCACACTGGGAGCCTCTTCAGCCCACATGTCCAGAAATAACATGATGGGGGGAATGTATTTCTCAATGATTCTTGTGGGGATTCTTGTTCACACTTTTTGTGAGTGTGAACAATTAGGTCCCTCTTTTATGAAATAGCCTACTGTTTATATTTAATTAGACAATTTGTCATGGTGTTAAGATGGCCCAGCTAATCTTAAAGGTGTTAAAGGCTAGATCTCAGGACTGGGAGAAATCCCTAACTGAAGGATTTCTGTTTGTAGAAGAAAATGTATTTCCTGTCCCATGTATATGGATTAAATACTACAGAGAAGAACTGAATAATCACATTTCTGAGCACAGCCTACAAGTCTAATCCTCAGTATTGATATTGTTTGAGACAGAGTCTCACTGTACAGTTCTAGCTTGCTTGGAACTTGCTGTGTAGACCAGGCTCTCCTCAAACTCATACTATCTACATGCCTCTCCCTCCTCAGTGCTAGCATTGAAGATGTGTGACACCACACTCAGCTATTTGTTTTTTGGTTTGTTGTTGTTGTTTTGGTTTTTGAGACAGGGTTTCTCTGTGTAGCTTTGTGCCTTTCCTGGATCTTGCTCTGTAGACCAGGCTGGCCTTGAACTCACAGAGATCTGCCTGCCTCTGCCTCCTGGGTGCTGGGATTAAAGTCGTGTGCCACCACTCCCTGGCTTTTATTTGTTTTTTGAAGCTTGAGAAGAATAAGCAAAAGAGCATCATCAACTGTCAGTTTCATGGTTCACCCTGCCTCAGAACAGGGCTCCCAGGCATCTTCTCCCACTCTTCCCATCCCATGGAGTCAGAACTGAGACAGGAGCAGACTTGGGAGCAGAGATCTAGTCCCCATCTGTGGGGATTATTCTCCAGTTTGGAGAATAAGAATGGGAGCACAGTTGATCCATGGGTGTTTGTTGTAGGTCATGGAGGTCATAAAAAGAAAATGGAGGAGACAGGAAAGCTTGTGTTAGGCACAGAAAGAAATCTTGACCTTGAGGCTCTCCTAACCATGGAAAGTCCCTCACACAAGCTAAGGCTTTTCAAGACTGGGAGAACCTCCTCCTCACATTGCAAGCTCCATCCCTCTCAGCCAGAAATCAGAGAACCAGGAGGCCATTAAACATAGGGATGAAGCAGGAGGCTTGTGGGAAGACTGAGTTTTGCTTGTTCCCATAGTCCTGGGCTGGAAATTAAATGCTTCTGCCACTTCCCAGAAAGACAAAAGACTCCACTCCAAACCTGTAACTGATATTTCAGAGATCCACTTACTAAGGACTGTAATGTTCTTGACTGTGGTCCTATAGACTCCAGGAAAAATATTATAGATGAGACAGGAATAGGATCTGCTATTATTAGTATTAATATTGGGGATAAAGAGCTCTTGGGAGGAGGACTGGAGCTCTCCCTTGACAAACCAAGAGTACTGTTGAGGTGGGTTAGCATCTGTGTGGCAGGAGATGTGAGGTTTGTCCTTGAATGGAAATGAATATTTGAGGGGGATATGATCAGGACATTTGGATCATCTGGAACAAACAGAATAAAGTCACACATGATGTCAGCAGAGGGAAGGGGAAATCCTGGTCTGTAGAGGACATAGTATCTCTTTGAGCTGTGCTTTAACCTTAGTTGAGCAGGTCCTACCCAGAGTTGGGGAGGAGATAAGTACAAGAGTACTCATTCAGCATGCACAAGCCCTGATCTTTCTCATGCACAACATACACACACACACACACACACACACACACACACACACACACACACACACACACCTCCCCATGGACACTCATGTGTGCACTGAGACTGAGTCTGACTTGTCCCCTGTCTCCATCACCCTGAGACTCTCTAGGCAGAATTCCCTGCAACCCATTCAAGCTCAATGCTGGGCCTGTCCACATATGTTTTGGCTGGTACAGGATGCCCTGGCAGCCTAGGTATCTGTATGGTAGGTCTGTGTCGTGAACCCAAGGGGACTGGGACCGAGCATGGTATAGCTCTAGCCCTCTGTATTTAGGCAGTTGGGACCAGGATGATAACAGAAAATACTTACAGGTAGTGTTCAGAGAGAATGGGTCACTTGGGGAGGCACTTACTGAGTTCCAGTTTCACATTCATAGGGTCCTGTGTCAGTCTCACAACACTGAGTAAAGTGAGAGTCCTGTTGTCCTCAGACAGCTTCAGCCTGTCCTCTTCTGAGAGGCTTTGGTCATTTATCCTCCACAGGTAGGCTGTATTCTGAGTCTCATGCTCACACATTAATGCTGCTGAGTCCTCACCCTCCATGGGATTGGAATTGTTGGTTGTGATGTTGGGCTTGGGTAGCAGTGCTATGCTGACCACAGAGAGATGATTGCCTTGTGTGGTTATTTTGTATCTTACAAAGGCCTCTTACAGCCAGACATTGTCTCTTAACTCCCAGCTGACCCAGATACCGAAAGAATCAGGCAGGAAGCAAATTAAAGGCAGAAGGAGTGGCTGAGTGCTCAGAGATAATGGGGCCTCCTGTGCTGTGTATGGAAGAAGCAAGGACTTTCTCATGAGAGAACTGAGCTGCAGTGTTTGGTTATGGTCAGACTCAAGACTTGGAATCACAGATCTCATTTTATTTCCTGGTCCTCACTGACCCATTGCTGCCTTGAGACACAAGGTTTGGGTCCCTCTAGCTACACTGACCTTGCCTGCTTTGTGTAGACCAGAGCCCTCCCAGCCTTTGCTGTCCTACAGATAGGTCATGATTAGTCTTCCCATTGAGATTCCCTGAGAAACCTGACAGCCTGTCAGAGATCTCACACAGCTCAGGATCTGCCTGACATTTAGTTCAGGCTGGGCCACATATGGGCCATTCTTGTTAGGTGTTTGATGTTGATTGACAGGAATCTGGGAGCCCTATAAGAATCCTGTGTCTATGAAATGATCTAGAAGAGTGAAGTCCACCTAGTAGGTCCCTATGATGGGGACCTGGAGATGTGGTTTTGGACAGATAGCTTGTGCCACTGATGGTCTATGTGACCCTGACTCAATGACTGTGTTGGCTATCTCACTTTTTCTATAATAGGACACATGGTAAAGGATCATTGCTATGCCTGCAAAGTAACCTTAAATGTGAACAGTGATCTGACCTTCCACCAAGCAGTGTCTACTAGTATTTCCTGCAGGAAATAATCCCTGGACTGCGGTGGGAGAGATGGCTCAGTGGTTAAGAGCACTGGCAGCTCTTCTAGAGCTCCTGAGTTCAAATCCCTTACACCCATCTATAATTAAAATGTGGTGACCCTTTCTCGTGTGCAGGCAGAACACTTTATAATAAATAAATAAATAAATAAATAAATAAATAAATAAATAAATAAATAAATAAAGGCTAATCCGACTGTGGGAAGAAAACACCAAGGAGCTGTTGGTAGAAACATGTAAATTTCACATTGGAAAGAGGTGCAGATTATAAGCAATCCATAGACAATTGTAGTCAATGGCAGTGTACATTTCAGAGTAATCAAGACAAATTTACAATTTCTCACCATAACAAATGGGAGATAAAAGTGTAGTGGGTGTTACAGAGTTGACTTAATCATTCTGTCTTGTATACAGACATCAAAGATTACACTCTATTTCTTCAGACTAAGTACAGTTGGGAGGCCATTTAAAGCACTATTAACAAGCAATAGATCATGGATCAAAACAGTGGGAATATCATTTTCAAGTGCCAAAAAATGTTACATATTGTACATCTGAACATGGGCCAAAATATATAAAGAACTCTCACAGTTCAACAATAGTAACAATAAAACCACAAGTAGCTCAATCCAAAGAGAAGGAAAAGACCTGACATTCCTTTTAAAGAAAGAGGAACAGATGACCAATAAAGACATGCTGCTTAGTTTTTGTCTATTTGACAGACTAAATTCACATTGGAAGAGAAAACCTCATTTGAGGTATCACCTCCATCACAATGGCCAGCAAGTCATTTTCTTAATTACTGTTTGGTGGAGGAGGACCCGGGGCTATCCCCTTGCAGATAGCCCCTTTCTTATGGGCTCTATAAGAAAAGCAGCTGAGCAAGTTGTGGGAGCAAGCCAGGAGGTTTTCCCCATGGTTCTTGCCTGCACTCCCCTCAATGACACACCCTGATTAAGACATTTAAGCCAAATAAACCCCTAACTGCCAAGTTGGTTTGGGTTGTGGCATTTCATCACAGTAACTGGAAAATCTATCTAGGACAGCACATAAAGAATTGCTATGGAAGCCGGGGGTGGGGGTGGGGTGGCACATTCCTTTAATCCTAGCACTTGGGAGGTAGAGAAGGGAGATATCTGGGATTTGAGGCCAGCCTGATCTACAGAGGGAGATCCAGGACAGGCACTAAAACTTCACAGAGAAACCCTGTCTCAAAAAAAACAAAAATTAAAAAAAAAAGAAATGTTATGGAGTTATGCGTAGTGGCACATGAATTTAATCCCAGCACTCAGGAGGCAGAGGCAGGTGTATCTGTGAGTTCCATGCCAGACTGGCCTGCAGAGTGAGTTCCAAGACAACCAGGGATATACAGAAAAACTCTGTCTCAAAAAACCAAAAATGAAAAAAAAATAAAAGAAATGCTTATGGGCCAGGCAAGGTGGTGCACACCTTTGATCCCACTACTCTAGGAATTCCAGCCTGGCCAGCTGGGAGTATATAGTGAGACCCTGTCTCACAAACAAAAACCAAAAACATGCTTAACACCAGTAGTCATTGTAAAAATGCACATGATTGACGGACCTAAACTGTACATTCTTAAGGATAAGTTGTATATAATTATAAGCTAAAAAGTTAGTTATTAGGATACAAATTAAAGCTTGATCATCTTATAAATGATCAAATTCTCTATACAAATGTATGTTTAGAAACAGGCTAAATATGCTGAATATTAGCATAATCAATTCCTTACTTCACCTATGACATTTAAAAAATGTTTAAGCCTCCCACTTTAAACTATGCCATGCCTCTTACAGCCAGGAATTAGTCCAAATTATACTTTGAGATCATTTAGATTATATTTCCACTTACTAGGTCTAAAGATAATTTGCCTTGCTATCCAATTTTCAGTAAAAGATAGCTCACCAAACAGATTTCAGAATAAGCTTTTACTATTCCTTCATTAAAAGAAATTTACTTTACATTGACTGTTCTCAATAATCAATCACCTATGTCTCCTGACTAATTAAATACATAAATGGTTTTGGATGTAAAGTTTTTATAAGGGTATAAAAGTTTAGATATAGAGACCGTTTAGGAAAGTTAAAAAATAACTTATGATATATGAATTGCCAGTTATTGGGATAGATAAATATAATATATAAACATCTAGATATGGTATAAATGATATCCACGTCTCCATAAATAACCTAGAGATACTGAGGATGTATACCTATGTTAGATGTATGGATAAAGTTTTTCTTGAGATCTGAGATCTGAGATATATAGGCTTTAGAAATAGACTTATGTATGCATTAATACATTAGTCTACAGACGTCCCCCAGAAGAGACCTGGGGCTAATAAAAGGCCATAGCTCCTCCACTGTACAAGGTATAATAATTGTCCAAGGAATGATTGATCTGACTTTACTTGGAAAATTAAGATTATTGTAAACCTCCTACAAAACAATTCAGAATCTACAGGGCAGCACCTAAGGGAGCTGCCAGTTTGGATTCAAGTTTTATGGTCTTCTGGGTTCAGGAAATTAAATATTCCAGACCAACTAAACCCTTAAAATACAGGGAAAGAAAGTAATTGATTTGCTAGACATAAGCATAGACATTTCTTACATTTTAGGAAATGACTGACCAAATACTTAAGACAATTATTAATCCTTCATCTCATATAGGTCTAGGAGGTCAAGCTAACATTGTAACCAAAAGCTCAGAAATATTAAAATGGCCAGACAGATAAAATTATGGACGATTCTGCCCACAGGCATCCCCTTTATACCTAACACTCTGTGGGGAAGAGACATGCTGCAATTAATTTGTGTATCATTAATCTCTGCTATGGACTAATATCAGTTCAAATGCTATAAATGACTGTTTAACTTTAAAGAACTTGGGTAAACAAACAAAAGGCATAATTGAGTCCATTATTCTAGAAATTATAAATGATAGACATGGCCTAGGGTATCAAAATTAATCTGAGGCACCACTGTTGACTGCTGACCCCACTACATGGAAATCTGATGCTCCTAACTCAGTTAAACAATGGACTTTGAATGCTCAGAGAATTGTAGCTGCTACTTGTCTGGTGGAAGAGAAGCTTAAAAATAGGGCATATAAAGCCTCCCACCAGCCCTTGAGTCACCCCAATATTTGTTGGTTAGAAAAAGTCTGGCTTACAGCTGTTACAAGACCTTAAAAAATTAAATGAACATTTTTGGAACCAAGGGGAGCTTCACAATCTAGTTTGCCCTCTCCCACTGCCACCCCTAGAATTCAAAACATAATTGTCATAGACTTACAAGATTGCTTCTTCACCCTACATTCTCACCCTAAAGATTGTCAGCATTTCACTTTAAGCTTGCCTTCTAACCTGACACAATGGAAGTCAAAAGCTTACATGCAGAGCAGAAAATATGTGTTCTGTTTATCCAGAACACATTGATTGAGCTGAGTTCCTCATCATATATATAGATTAACTATCAAATCTATCTGTAAATTATAGTTTCCTCACTGTCCCCTAACCCAATTATATCTATATCTCTCTCTATCTATCTATCTATCTATCTATCTATCTATCTATCTATCTATCTATCTATATCTGTGAGTGTGTGTGACTGTGTTTGTATATATATATATATATATATATATATATATATAAATACATTTATAACACAGGTGACATTATATTTATAACAAACTATAAAACATATGAGTCTATAGACTGGGAGATAAGTCTATGCTAGGTACTTTCTAATGTCTGTCCAACAATTACAAATTCTCACCCTATGGAAATTCACCCATGAGGCCTATGTCCTTATGATTTTTGTGTATGAAATAAAGAAATAATGCACCATTTATTCCACTGCTTTAAAATTTTAAGAAGGCCTAGAGCTCATAATTGGACAAAAGCCTTATTATACTTCAAGAGCTCTTAACAATTGGTGCTTAATTTTTCATATCTCCCACTACAGACATCCCTTATTATCCACAGGCCAAGCCACAAAGTTACACCTAAGCAGCCAGAACCTTCTCACTTGTATTTGTAAAGGTCCTGATGTTTTCATAATGTAAAAACTGGATATGCTTACATGTTTTCACAGGATACTGACACATCTTTTTGAATCCTGGATTGCCTCGTCATGCC